ATCTAGTATGAATACCATATCACAGTGAATACTGAACACAAAGCCTTAACCAACTGAAGCTAGCGCATGGTAGTTGGATTATGATGTTGATATCCTTTTGCTTGAGTTTTTTTTAGGTAAATCCCTAATTCCCGAAGACCCGCAAACTAATCTTACCTGATACATGAAGACAGGTAAAACAAGGATTACTGCAGAAATGATTGAAATCATTCTAATTTTGCCACGTCCTTTATTCATCAGCTGTTCGCACGAATATGCTAAATTTTCAAACCGGAAAAATTGCCGAAATCGAAATACTTTGAAATATGAGAATGATCAGCGTAATGTTTCATGTTGTGGTTACCTTTCCATTCAGGGTGATAAGTCCGTGAATAAAATTCCTTTCTAAAAATATAAAGTGTTTAAGGAAAAGTATTAGAATATTGAACTAAGTTATGAAACTTTAGATCACTGTGCAATGAAATGAGCGAAGTTAGATCATTTAAGCAAAAAAATGAGTTGATATCAATCAATTACAGTCAACGTTTATACATTTTGTTGTTTTCAAGAATGTCAACTTCCATAAAAAAGCTGATAAAAAAGGAACATATTTGATGAAAAAGAGGATCAAATCGTTGTTTTTTTAAATAAATTAGAAAAAGTACCATGTGAAATTTAATCAGAATAAAATAGTTTCAAGTTATGATGCCTTGATTGCTTGTATGATGAGTGTTGCCTCACTAGTGTTGTCGTGCTCCTACGCTATACATTCAAACGGCCACTAATAAACAAATCCATTTGGTTCTTCGATCAGAAGAAAAATACCACATGCCGAAATAAATTATCGAACCACAATCACACAGAGCGAATTCAATATACAAGTTTCGAAGGGCAGGCAAAAACGTGAGCAAGGTATCGAATAAATGAATAAAATTGAAAATGCACATACATATAAACAGGTAAATCATCTATTTTAAAGCTTGACGCGGGAAAGTCGCCAAAATGAAACCTTCTGGGGTTACACCTATGTTAAGCAAGGTTTAAAATACATATTTGAGGAGACACTAAAAAATCATTTAGGCAGCCTAATAAGTGACGCATCACCTGAGGTAACAAAGAAACAGTAGTTGCATTTGTCAGTAGGGTGGATTGATTACTTCAAATATTGTTCACTAGGGTCGAACATTCTTTTCCATTCTAATTCATCTTTGCCATCAACATCTTTCATATACAGTAAACAGTGTTTTCTATATTCAGATACATAATGTCGCTTTAAAACACTGCATGAATTTAGGTTTGTAACGAACCTAAGTTAACTAGAACAAATCAGTAAATGCTTATTTTATTCAATAATGTTGATGATTTGAAAAAAATCAGACACCTGTTTTTTGTTTGTAGATGATTACCATTTTATTAAATGATATAAATATATATTTACACGTATTCACAACAATCTTGAAATACTTTTGACTTTTATTTCGATTGCAATTGGGTTGTGAATCTTGGTTTTTGAATCGATAAATACATGTGTTTCATCGGCATAATTATCCAACAATATTGTATTCAGCGGAGTAGACCAACAACGTTCGTAGCGCGTAGCACTGTAATTTGTTACTTGTGAATTACGGAAGTTAATTAAGTTCTCTAGGTTTCGGCTAAACTGAGTAAAACGATATAAGGTTCATATGGAAAATTCTGACTGACGCGTAGGTTGACGGTTACTAGGAATTCCAGATGTTGTTCATTTGTAAAAACGTAACATTTAACTACACCGATCAGTGTCTTCGCCTCTGCTCGGTCTTGCTAACCAATCATGACTTCCAAATATTTGAACGTTTTTACATCATCGAAAACTTCTGCACCAAGTGAGAATTGTTTGTCGCATGTTTCGTTGTATCTGGAAATCATGCTTTTCCATATGTGCCATTTAAAACTTTCAACCGATGATCCTGCCGTTTCACTGGCATTTTTCACTTGAAGTCGTTTTTGCTACCGCCAAAGCGAAGGCAGATCAAATGCGAAATCTCCGTCGTTCAGCAGCATCCTGGCTGTCTTATATTGCCCGTGCTTCTCCTCGACTCTTGACGCCTTCATGATTCAGTCAATCACTAACAGTGAGGATAAAGTGGTTGGAAGCATATTTCCGAACACCAGTATTCTTCGGTGTTTTAATCCGGTAGGTTCTTTCATGTGCGGCACTTTTAAACTCTGGTTCTAAGCTCGATGAAGCATTGGTGCCCGTGATGTGAATTGGGTTGATTAGCGCGTTTGCAGTGCACAATCTGTAACTGCGTCGATGCTGCCTTGTTACAGATAAAGAAGCTGTTAGAATTGCTGCATTGTAAAAATGTCTCTCGTCATCCTACTCCTCGAATATACTTACTGTCTATAATAGCGCGTGAAGGCGTTGAGTTGCCAATATGCAACATTTCAGTTGCGGCTATGCATCCACGCTCTCTTAGACTAACCTCTCGATGATTTTTTTAACGGGGTCCCTCTGAAATAGTGATTTGCACACAAAATTAAATCAAACCTAAACCGCTTGAATAATTCTAACTTGGATGACCAAACCTTTCTTATAATTTTATTATGTGTCTCTTCTGAAATTATATGTTAAGGCACGCAAAATCCTGTTGCCTGTATCCTAAAATCACGCTGAAAAATTCACGTTGTAGCTTCCCATTTTCCAACCTTTTTCCAGACTGGTCAACAGGCATGCTGAGTATTGAATCTGGTGCCATTGTTCAAAAAATAGATACTGGCAATTGCATTTTTCGAACAAATGGATTTCAGTTTCTCGAAATCTCGTCACTACTGAACCCAAGCACGATTAAGGGTGGAGTCACCTAAAGTTTAGGCTGCTGATGGCAAATAGTGATGAATACATTTATCAAGAGAGATAGAAAAGAAAGTGATGCTAATTGACGGTACTACTAATACTCCAACTACACTTCAGACTGGCACTAGCGAACCGGAAATAGGCTGAACAATTTCGGCAAACGTGATTTTTTCTTACTTTTAATCGTAAATATTAGAAAGACGGATAGAACACTTCACGGACAAGCTTGACCGTCCTCCATTTCTACTTCGGACACAGTCAATTTGAAGTTTCTCATAATAGCGGATCAATGTAAGCTCTCCATGTCTGAATCTAAATGAAGATTCTTAAGAAAATGAAAAGCGAGTGAGAGCAGCCACACAATCACATTACTTAAGGACTTAGAACACAGACAGAAGTTTAGACTTTGTACCAATGATTTTTAGCTCAATCCTTAGGTGGCACTGTTTTTGTGGAAATTTCTGTCGAGGAAACGAACATTAAAGAAGTATATCAACAAGTTCTCGAATAAAACACTCTAGGTTGAGTCAAAGCTTATAGGGAAATATCATCCAAAGTGAGTCCCATAATTGTTGTTCGTTAGGATGTTTAAGGCTTTCTAATCTCGTAAAAATTCATCACACATATGCTGATGCGATGTGTTGTAATTTAATCTTATTCGGGATATGATTCTCACCTCCGAAAGCGGTATATTGATTAAGGATAAGGTTGCACAGTACCTGGACTAGTGATAAAAAGGGTGTTAGCTGACTTTCCTGAGCACTTAAATTATCCAGAGAGTCAAAACCGATATTCGCAGTCCACTGATTTTCCTAAAACATTGCTCGTATAAACTGGGACACAGGATCAAGCAATGAATCTGTTGAATAAAAGGTAAAAAATAAGGTTGAAAGATCAGTGGGAGAGGAGTGGAATGTTCATCAGTTCAAATATCTTTTACAGGTGGTACGTCTGATCAACCAATCACTGACCTGCTGACGTATGTTACGTTTAGCTGAAGTGTATTGGAATGAACCTGAAATGTGACAGAAAAAATTATGACACAAATCCATAACTTTCCATACACGGTGACTGGGCAAAGTTTTTATATGAAAACCACCTGGTAGCAACATTCTAAAGCGATGGTTTAGGACTTTGAAAACCATCACACAAAGTCACTAACGTTTCAGTTATCACAACCAAAGAGCAGCCCTTCTGGTTACTGTATCTTCAGGTACAAATGATAACTAAGTATTTTGTGCTACGCCGAACGCCATTAGTTTTGAATGAGTAACTCATTACTAGGAACATTGCTCTTGAAGACAGAGACAAGAGCATCGACTGGTGTGCTTTCCCGGTAACATGAGTATGAATGAAAAGGAAAGAATAATTAGGAAAATCGTTTTCACTACGATAGTACTTCTATTTCAGATAACATGAAAAGTAACATTCACCATTCACAATCATTAACTTGCAACGTTCGAGGTTTTTACGTCATTCACAAAAATTGGTTCAAAAACCGAAGCGGACTGTTCTACTGCAACGTCTTCTAGTTGTTGTTCTTCCTAGTTCGTATTGCTTCAGCAGCTCAATAATAATAGCACAATATAAGATCAAGTCAGATATCATTTCTCAAATGCACAAAGTTTTTCATTATCCAACAGATACTGTAACGGATTTTCTAATCTCGCAGTTCGCTCCTGATCAAAAAGTGCAGGTTTATACGCGTTTCACCTGGTCCTGGTCAAAAAACGATATTTCCAGGAGAAAACGGTTCTCTTAAATGATAAAAAGGGAGATACAGACAATTGCCAAAAGCAATATTACACCTTCGAGTTTACAATTACCACAATGGGTTCCGTTTCTGGAAGAATGAGCGCTTTCAGTCAGTTACTGCTAGAGTATCAATACAAAAATGGCTGTAGCCATAAAAAACATCAAATTTAAACAACATATGTACAATTCAGAAGGAAACATATCAACTTCTATATAAGTACAAGATATAGAAATAAGAACAATATATAATGATAAAATCTCAAAATGGAATCAAATAGAGTACTAAAATGTCAACAGAAAGAGTCAGGCATATCATAACACAAACATATATACATGGAGGGATTTTCCAAAAACAAAACCTTGAAAATAGATTATACATAGACTATCACAAAGTAATAATTGAAGCGAATATAAAACATTATTGTACTAATAATTGACGTGTTTGAATCAAAATGTTGGAATTCGAAAATGAAATAAAAACTTTCAGCATTCATGTTTAAATCATTATTATATTTAGAAAAGTAGATAACAACATAAAGACATCTACATACACAATTAAATATTCGGGTACTCTGGAAACATATTCTCACACATGTGAACACAAAGATGATCACTTTATGTTTCTAAAAAGTACATTGATTCACAGGATTCATTTTCGAACCACGAGGACATTGATAAATTTTAGAAAATTCCTCACTGTTCCTGAGGATATCATTCACACTAAAAATAACAAGAAATAAATATGAAGTTGTTGAATTGATCATTGCGTAATACTTCATTTTTTTTAAAAATCTGCAATATTGTTTGATTTATCTACCGCAACAGGATAAACGTCGATGACTATGAACTCAACACTTAAATGTGTATTTTTCAGCGCTGATAATCGCGATCCGGTTGAGTTTACTGAATACATTTTTGCTACCAAACTAGCTTGTAAAACTGTCAATATATTTTGTGTGTAGCGATATATTTATTTGTCAACAAAAACAATCAGTATTTCAAATGGATAACACGAATAAATTGTGATAAAAATTGTCAATTTTCGAAAGCATTACCTGAATTCGTGGTATTGTTGAAATGAACTAGACCTCAAACCAATCAGATCATGGGAGGAGTCTTCACACATTGTCTTTAGATGTGAAGGATATATGAAATAGGAGAGAATAACAAAAAGTTATATAATGCATAACTATGATAACTTAGTGCAGGTAAAACCTGTATAATTTGTAATTTGTATAGACTGTAATGTAATGTCGAATGATAGCGAAGTTATTTCAAAATACACTGTTATTTAAATCGCAATTTGAAGGGAGTTCACTTAACCCTAATACACTTATCTTAACCTGTCTACAACGTGATCTATCATATTGAGCAATCACAAATGTTCATAAATATTGATTGAGTGATCTGCTAATATTGAAATACTTTGATTCCGAATTGATAAAAACATTTGGTAGATCACTGCATTTTAAAACAGAAGTTTATTTATCAAACGATATTTCAGAGCACAACTGATTATGATGATCAAATAAATAATGATAATATTATTAACTTTTTCTCTACGTGGTTAACTATCATCATAACTACTCTCTGCTTCAATCTTTACTTTAAGGCTGACACCTACATTTTTGATGTTTCCAGTATCTTCTGGATCACTGTTGCTGTTGAAAGCAAATTCCCGTTGTTTTAAGTCACAAAATACTATTATTTGCAATTAAGTGACAATTTTCCCGCCCTTTCTCATTCTTTTGATATTACGTTTCCTTTCTCTCTCCATTATTTACAAATACCACCCCATGTCGATTTGACCTTATACATAAACAACATTCTATTATTCTGCATATTTAATGCCTTTGTGTGTGTGTGTGTAGCTCAAATACATCAATAACGTCATCTCACGTTTCTATCAAAATTGAGTATCCGTCTATGTTTCCTTGATGGATACCCATTGTCATCTTCAGTTTCTTAGCAAGAATAACATTTTATCGCCTTTCTATTCGACTGCTTCGTTAGCAGTTTTTGCATATATCACTGGCCATATTGTTTTTATGACAAAGGAGAGACATATTTTTGTTCGAAGGTTTGAGAAATCCATCTTTATCTGCAATATAAAGCTTTTCAATGTCAAAATGAGAGCTATTTATCAAGCCAATGATTATTATTTTGTGTCCGGAAATGTTTGTTTCATTTCATCACACTCTTTCTGCAAATACTCTTATTTTTTACACCACTTGCTTCTTGTTTGATTTCTAATGCAATAGTCAACTAAATATCTGTGATAATGACAAACAGCGTTTCATATAAAATAAATGAATGAAATTTGAGCATTGTGCATAACTTACTATGGCAAATGTTTCAAAAAAGGACTTCATATTTTCTAAATTATTATCACCGGTCGTGAGGAGGTCCTTGTAATGCTACATAAAACGTGTGGCCATGAACAATAAATAATACCAATAATGAATAAACGTTCACAGATATTCCTTAATTTTACATAACACTTCATCGAAATATGACAATTATATCATTCAGATTTAATCATACACTTAAATATTATGAATATTTTCTAAATAATCTCAATGGGGATAAGTTCAAATTCTGGCGCTGAACTACGTTTGGTTTGTCTCTTCAATCAAGAGAAATTTTCCAATCATTTTCCGAAATTTCATTTTCATTCAAAATGGGATAATTACAGATAGCCGGTATGATGAATAATGTTTAATTGTATTATGATGTCAATGTTTCATTTAAAATAAAGCAGTTCAGTTACACTATATGTAGCATTTTTCCTGAATTCGAAAAACTTTCCAAAAATGAATTGAACCTTTCCATCGTAGTTACTGTTTAATTGCATGTCTTCCAGGGTATGTGAATACAGGAAGTCAATCACTTAAACAATTTTGAACACCAAATCAATTTTATAAAGTTTGGTGGCAAACTAACGATATATTCGTGATGGGTAAAAATCAAAATTGCAAGGTACAAAGATACTTAGTAACAAGTCTGTAGCAATCGTTTTCTTCTTTTATCTCAATATCAAACAGATATCAACAAGGAAAATCCAACGGTTGTCAATTTTGTTTGACTAAATCATAACTCGCGTTTAAAGTTAAAGCTTTGTAGGGTTCATTTTAACATCAAAAAGATTATTCAATGCAGTCGGAATTCATCTAACGCTCTCGCACAATGACAACATGGAGAAATCAATGTTTAAGGCGTATATTCAAGATAAACATGAGTATTGATTGAATTAAATGAATATTACACTACATAAAATTCACTTACTGAATACGATAACATAAGACCATTGATATCAGCTGCCAGTTGCTTGAAATTCTATTTAATTTGAAGAACATAAATGTTTGTGATTATCTATGAAAACATATCAATCAGTTCTAGTTCAATCTACACTATGTTGTGCTATTTCCAACGTGAGATAAATCATTAAATTTGTTTTGTTCTGAACTAACCATATGTGGTTGCAGAATCATGGTGGGCGGTCTATGCTCCATTGGGGGTATTAGGCGTAAGTAAGTAAGTATGTAAGTAAGTTAGTAAGTAGGTAAGTAAGTAAGGACTATCCAAAATATAACTTCAGAAGTAAATCTTTGTTCATAGTAAAAACTTTTCGATCATCTATCGAAAAACTTCTACAATAACTGTTTTCCTGGCATGAGATATTGATATTTACTACAAAAGCATTCACTGACTGTTGCATTTTCATACAAATGTTGAATCAATGTTGACAATTCAAAAACTACCTCATGAGAAAAACTTTTTAGTGTTCAAACTATCAGTTTATCTTTTCACATCTTTCAAGAACAACAGTGAATAAAAGTCCAAATTAACTGTGAACTGTCTGTTTTCAGATCTGTGATTCGACCGACTTGCTAAATGACTGAGTAACAATTCTTATTGTTCAACAATTGCATTCCTATTTCCCTAAAATTTGCAGATTGCTTACGTTGTCTGCGGGTTGCAGTATGTGTCAATTTTTTATTGAAAATCAGAGTTAAAACACATTTCACAAGTGAAATACCAAAATAAGAAGGTATCAAAGTATGCACACCAAAACGCTTTCTAATTGAGCGACATACCTTTTTTCCAATCGTTTGATCACTAATTTGTCTTGATAAACAACACATCTGATTTTCCAATGGTGATAAAAGTTTCGTTCTACATATTACCGGAGATTGGCCTCCTTGATAGAACTGAAGTGTTCTGAAAGCTTTAGTGAAAAGGTTGTAAAAACGTTATATTACATGAATCAACATAATGTCAGTGGTAACGTTCGTGACTGCTGTACAGGTTAGAATTCAAACACATATATTCTTAGTTATCAGGGCATTTGCCTGGAGAGAAATTCCTTGGCTATCGGTCGAATTTTATAGCTCTCAGTCTCAGTAAAATCACACTACTTGATTCGCGTTTTGCAGTTCACATTACTGTTATTTGAGCAGAATCATTAGTTGATTCTGTGTAAGTTTGAGTATATAATATAGCAATACAAATTTATTATATGTGAAGTTCGGAAGAATTATTCGAAAAAGGAATTCGGGCATCAATTTTATAATTTTCCGAATTAGGATTTCCAATCGCTACTGTAATCAACAATAATTTATATGTTGTGATACGAAATATATATATGTATACAGCCTGAAATTCATTAGGCCAACCTAACTGTGAAACTATACCGTGAATCTTTGGATAATCGCTCCTGTTGCACAAATTTGCGGTCGTTCACTTTTCTTTGCCATAGCGAAAACTAGCATCAGCTGATTGAAGTACGCGCATCAATGGTATTCGAATGTCAAGTAACACAAGTTTCAGTTCTTTGAGATCAGGCAACTGAACAGAAGCAGCCCATATCTACACGATTGTTACGATTGAGTTAGTAATGCGTGAGGAAACTTGAGATTGAATAATTGCCACTGTTCCTAATAATTTTCTGAATACCTGTTTACGCTAAAGATTATTCTATAACAACTATCAAATAATTTACTTTCGGATATCAGTTGACGCCCAATAAGCCATCCAAGAAATCCATAGTTTGCTGACATTGATTGTGATTCACTGAGAAATGACTGATGTAATTCCGAAGCAGCCAAATAAATGTTAGGGTATGTTACAGATCCAATATCATTTTGTTTATAACTGATCAATTCAGGTTCAAGAATTTTGAAATAGAAAAGAAAAATTATTTCATGAGGTTGGTATTTGAGCGTTTGCAGTCTTAAAAAATGAATATATTTGAAAAACCTTTCATCTGAACAATTCAAGTCGATTTACTGAAAAGCATTCGCATATCACAATTTACAAATAAAAACATGTTCCACAGAGAGGTATTTACTATGAGTGAAGCTATTTATGTTTTCAAAAACACTAAATATTGTGCGCCATCATATGCCATCAATTTACACATTCCTTTGCGTGATTTGATTTTTTAGTTGAAATTGTTTTTACATGCTTGAGCATTTCGGTGGCTTCATGTGATTACATATGGTCAAGATAAGTTAGAGCATAAACAGTTTTGATCCTAATGGCTAATTCGATAAAGTTACTTTATTACGTATAGTTATTTCAATGAACAAACTATGAGATCTTAGTTTCTGGTTTGATAAGCCTTTTGTAGATAAAAAGCAGCTGCTCGGATTAAACAACGAATGAGGTGTGGTACTTGATTAGTTTGATTCATAGTTTTACAATTGACGTTGTAAATAAAATTAATGTCAGTACTTGTCCAGTAAACGTAAGTTAAATACACAAAGATTGATGAAAACTTTTAAAACAACCACAAAATTGTTTAACTCACAAATAGCTTGTAATTATTATTCTTTGAATTGGTTTAAGGCAATTATTCATTTGAGAAGAGTAAGCATTCATGAAATAATTATCCCTGTAGACAGGAAACTGAAAAGAAAATGGTAGGAAAAAACAAACAGTCTTCGAAGTTGCAAATTCGTTGAGTAATTACAATTGTTTGAAGCTTACTTTTTCAAATGTTTAGGCTTTTTCATGTCGACCACGATGAATGGGGGAAGTAAATACTCTATCAACCCCACAAATTTAAACAAACTGACAAAATAACTTGGCCCGATTATACGCTAGTATTTCAACAGTTATTGGAAGAATAGAATTCTGAGGTTGCTTTCGGAAAGATAATGATGTCAATTTATCACCGCAATAACTTTGATTAGTAATAGTAGTTATCATAGTTATTAAACGTGAAACTATCTTATCATAACCAAGAGCTATTTGATCTGCATTCATGTGAATAATCTGATTATTCACGTTCCAAAAACGTTTACAGTACCTACTCTTCTATAAATATTCTGCTTATTAGCTTATTAATTAAAACAATCAAAAATAATTGGTGGCTAACTAATTCAGATCAGTCTACTGAGTTTTTCTCAAAATAGACTAAACCTAAAAGCACTCAATTCACAAGTCACTGATTTCACCTTAATTCATATTGCGAACCAATATGTTTTGCAGCTAAATTTAAGAACTTATTCAAATTAAATCCCTTCGGTATCACGATAACCTATCATCAGAATGCTGGAAAATAAATAATTTTCAACTTAAAAACTTACTACAATTATTAGATCCGAATAGTTTTTGACATTCTCGACAAAGTCAATTAAATTAGCATCCGAATATTGAATTTCTTGAACCTGAATAAGACATTGAGGTTAATATATACCTATTTTATTATAACTAAACTAACCGACATAAGAGCGCTATTTTTGTCTCTTGCAGTGAGCCATGACTTTGACGATAATGATTTGTTCAATTTATCTCTCAATTCCCTGAATATGACATCAACCTATTCAAGAAAAATAGACAAATCGAAAAAAAGTTTGCGTACCCGAAACAAGTCATTATTAGCTATTTGAATATCAGCACATAATTCTTCCGCATTAAAAATACGAACACACAGTTCATCTCCATTGTTTGCCAGAAATCAACACACCAATGTTTAGAAAGTAGTGAATTTGAGTGTATGTAGGAACAGTGAAATT